GAGACGAGGAGACGAGGAGACGAGGAGACGAGGAGACGAGGAGACGAGGAGACGAGGAGACGAGGAGACGAGCGAGACGAGGAGACGAGGAGACGAGGAGACGAGGCGACGAGGTAGACGAGGAGACGAGGAGACGAGGAGACGAGGAGACGAGGAGACGAGGAGACGAGGAGTACGAGGAGACGAGGAGACGAGGAGACGAGGAGACGAGGAGACGAGGAGACGAGGAGACGAGGAGACGAGGAGACTAGGAGACGAGGAGACGAGGAGACGAGGAGACGAGGAGACGAGGAGACGAGGGAGACTGAGGAGACGAGGAGACGAGGAGACGAGGAGACGAGGAGACGAGGAGACGAGGAGACTAGTATACTATTATACTATTATACTATTATACTATTATACTATTATACTATTATACTATTATACTATTATACTATTATACTATTATACTATTATACTATTATACTATTATACTATTATACTATTATACTATTATACTATTATACTATTATACTATTATACTATTATACTATTATACTATTATACTATTATACTATTATACTATTATACTATTATACTATTATACTATTATACTATTATACTATTATACTATTATACTATTATACTATTATACTATTATACTATTATACTATTATACTATTATACTATTATACTATTATACTATTATACTATTATACTATTATACTATTATACTATTATACTATTATACTATTATACTATTATACTATTATACTATTATACAGGAGACGAGGAGACGATGAGACAGATACTATGAGAGGAGACAGTATACTATTAGACGAGGAACGAGTAGACTAGACGAGATACGAGTAACGAAGGAGACAGATACGACGAGGAGACGAGTAGACGATTAGACGATGAACGAGAGACGAGAGACGAGGTAGAACGAGGAGACGAGTAGACAGTAGACGAGAGACGAGAACAGGAGACTATTAGACGAGGAGACTAGGAGACGATGAGACGAATACGAGATACGAGTATACTATTATACGAGGAGACTATTAGACTAGTGACGAGATACTATTATACATTATACTATAACTATTATACGATAGACTATATACTATTAGACGATTATACGAGGATACGATTATACGATTATCTATTATACTATTATACTATTATACTATTATACTATATACTATTATACTATTATACTATTATATTATTATATTATTATACTATTATACTATTATACTCTTATCCTATTATTATATTATTATTATTATAGTAGAACAGCTAGTAGCACAGTTAGTAATACAGCTTGTAGTACAGCTAGTAGTATAGCTAGTAGTACAGCTAGTAGCACAGTTAGTAGTACAGCTAGTACACCCAGTACATTATTACATTTAAAATGTAGTTTTCATCACAAGTAACATTTAATGGGTACTCAACTCTAGTTAAGAGGGTATCTGCTAGTCGCTCAATCAACTTGCTAGTATAAGTAATATTACAATTTAATATGCTATGAAAGAGCATTTGGATATTTAGCTTTAGCTTACAGGCTATCTGCCAGTCGTGCCTTTTGCCATATTTATAATTTCCTTGTTTGCTAAATAATATAAAAGTTAAATGATTATTGCAGAAAGTTCATTTCATTGGGATATTTAACGTTAGCTTTATATTTAAATATTTTCCTATTTTGATAAATAAAATAACAGTTAGGGTATCTGCTAGTCGCGCTGCATTCAGCTGTAACAGTTCAGTTTCATTATGTTTTATATTTCATTTTACATTTTTCTCTTGTATTTTTGCATTTTAATGAATATGCAAAGCGGCAACGTTAGCGTTGACTGCTGCTGCCTGTTTGCGACTTCATTAGCGACACCCCCAAATGGACCTTCCAATGCAGTCGCTGCTCCTGCTGCTGCTCCTTCTGCTGCTGTTGCCAAGCAATTGCAATGTGTGTGCCATTCGCATCCGCATCCATGATGCTTCCGTTATTTTTTTTTTTTTTTCTGTACGGGTTGCTTTTCTTCTCTTCTCCTTTCTGCTCTCTTCTCTTACTTCGCTTCTCTACTTTTGCTTTTTTTTGTTCTTTTGCACTTGTTTGGAAATAAATACCATGATAGCTGTTGCCGTTTGTCAGTCGCTCGTTGGGTGCGTTGTTAGAGTTACGTGGTATTTCTCTTCTCTTCTGCACCTTTCACACACACCCACAGCCTCACACACACACACATATATATATATATAGTTGGCCGTCTGCGCTGCACATCAAACGTCACGGCTGTAGCGTCAGGAGCCAGCGCAGCGCATCAGCTCGGAAGGAAGCTGTTCCCTGTGAGGCACCATTGTCTACTTGCCACACAGCGCCCATCTCTCATCTCCCATCTCCCATCTCTCATCGCCCACTCCCACGCCCCCGCCCACTTGCCTATTCCTTCGCACAAAGGCTGTGAATGTTTACACTTTGGATTTGGTGCTGGTCGTCGCATTTTTTCCCTTCTGTGTTTTTTTTTGTATGAAATTTGTTTGGCTTGCTCTGATTTTAAATGTGTTTGCTGTTAACGGTTGTTATGGCAATGCCTTGGGAGTGTGGTACAAGCGCCGTGTAGCAGCGGCTGTTGCCACTTACGGGTGGGTTGGGGCCTGGCTGCGCCACTCACAGTCGCTGCCCCACAGGAGCATATAACTGTCTAAGCGGCATCCATTTCAACTGCAATGCCACATTGCTTAAATGCACACCACTCACTTTTTGCCAATGCCACGTTGCCGAATTTCACAGCGCTTCAATCTGTGCCTTAGATATTTACCTATGCTGCGTTGCCAAACTTCATATTCGTAAAACTATGATGCTAAGACTCACTGTTTATTGATCTAAATGCTTTCCGATGCAACGTTGCCAAACTTCAGCTATAGATTATTCCAATATGCTACGTTGCCGAACTTCAAAGCACGTGAATACTTACTTCTGCTTGATGCTAAGCTTTATATTATCTAAATGTTTACTTATGCTACGTTGCCAAAGTTCACAACACTTGAAATTTGTGTATGCAACGTTGCCGAACTTCACAGCATGTAAATGGCTTCTAGGGCTATAATAACAAACTTCAAAATGCCTTAATGATTACTTCTGTCCCGTTACCAAAGTTACATATGCTCAATTTGCTACGTTGTCAAACTTCACACATAAATGTTCCTATGCAATGTTGCCAAACTTCACACATAGATTTTCCCTTATGCTACGCTACCCAACTTTAGAGCACTCACATTCATGCTTAGGCTACCTAGCCAAAATGTACACTTTAATTCTTCCCTATGCCACGTTGCCGAACTTCACAGCACTTGATACTTTTCTTTGCTACGTTGCCAAACTTCAATGAATCTGAATACATATTAATGCTATGCTTTATATTATCTAAATGTTTACTTATGCTACGTTGCCGAAGTTCACAACACTTGAAATTTGTGTATGCAACGTTGCCGAACTTCACAGCATGTAAATGGCTCCTACGGCTATAATGACAAGCTTCAAAATGCCTTAATGACTTCTTCTGTCCCGTTGCCAAAGTTACATTCATACTTCACAGCATCTGAATACTTAGTAATGCTATGCTTTAAATTATCTAACGTTATCTACGTTACGTTGCCGAACTTTCTAACAGTAAAATGCATTATTTCTGAACACTGAATGATTCTAAGTTGTTTATATGCGAAATCTTAGGTATTGCTGCCATCGTCCTGTCAACTTCGTCAATAATTGGCATTGACTGACTGATTCTTACATGAAATTTCAATAAACTTGAAGTTGTAGCTACGTAATAAGAAGATTTCAGCGGATTTGAGTGCCGAATAGACTTGCATTGTTGCCACACTTCCAAATACTTAACATACTTAAAATGAGACGTTGTCAAACTTCATGGAATTACCGTTGCCCATTGTTGTCAAGCTGTCGCACTTCATTGTCTCCAGTTGGTGAATCTCTGCTACATTTCAACTAAATATGTTGTGCTGCAAGCCAACCTACCCCATCCCCCAGCTGCTGGGTATCACCTGCACACGTGATTGTCGCCACATATTTGTATAGCATACTATAGACGCGCAATCTGTGAATAGTTGCAGAGCTTGCGAACGTCTTCACACATGGCATACAATTTGTGCCACTTAAGTGTTGCGCATCCATTTCCGCTTAGGCAGCGGACAAGCCGAACCCAACCAACCCACACCACCCCCTCCCCGTTCCACCTGGCCCCATCCCTTTCACACGCAACTCGAACCGCAATTCAACTCACTCAACCACAGACACAACCGCAGCCACATTATCCTTGCCTTTATTTTTTTCAATTTTCACTCGAGCGTTGATTGAAATGTTCAACGAGCAACACACACACACACACGCACACACGCGCACACACACACTTGCTGAGAGTTGGAAATGAGAATTGAGGACATGCAGCAGCCGGCAGCAGTCAGCGCGAAGAAACAAGGCAGCCAGAAAGAGACAGAAGACACCCACCCAATCGGCTGGCCGTAGTGGGGAAAGGGGAAGGGAACGGCTGGGTGGGATTTGTTTGGCTGGTTGGGTGGTTGGTTTTGTTGTTGCTTTGTCGGAGCTTATTTGTTTGTTTGCATATAAATTGCAATGTGCCGCCCGTCGACCGTCGCCTGTCGCCTGTCGCTTCAATTTTTTAGATTTTCAACTTTGTTTCTTGGCTTTTTGCTAAATGCTTTTACCCACCACCACCACTACCACCAACAGTCTGTCCGTCAATCAGTCAATCAGTCAGTCAGTCAGTCACCAAGTCCGTCACTTTGTCAGGCCATCAGTCATCAACTGGCATCAAGGCTGAGGCTCGCGTTTTACATTTGATTTTCGGCTCGCCAAACGCATTTTTTTTCTCTTTCCTTTCCATTTCGGCTTGGCTAATGAATTAGTTTGTGGCTTCTCCCCCGGTCAGCGTGAGTTTTAATTATTCTAATGAAACATCTCGAAATTGATAGCATCAATGAAACAAGTTTTGGTCATTATATTTACGTATATACAGATGTGTAAGTGCTTATGTTAAGTAAATAGCTAAAAATCAAATCAAGAACTTCATGCCCCAAACTCCCCACTGATGACAAAGGGTATACAAATGAAGAGAGACCCAACGGGCTTCAGTTCACATTGTATCTTAGAGCAGTATAGAAATATTATAGCGATGCCCGATTCATCCAGAACAGACTAGTTTCCTATGCACTATTTATAGAGAAGAAAATTGTCCAAATTGGAATTCGCATGTAACTCATTTATTGGAATCTTTTGTTGTTTCATCTGGAATTGAAAACATATTTACTATTAACTACTAGAAGCTTACATGGAACACAAAAAAAAATAAAGGTAAAGAAATATATTGTAATTGTTAATATATACGAATAATGTCTAATCCTGCTGGGTTGGCCGGGTTGGGTTGGGTTGGGCTAGCAGGACATATTCAGTTAATACCGTAACTAAGCTGCGTTGAGCTTGAGTGCAAAGTCCACATTCATTTTGACCGCTGGTTTGCGCACGACAATGGCTCCATTGGAGCGTTGCTCTATCTCCAGCTTCTGGGTGATGCCATTGGCGGTGATGGTGGCATCTATTGGCGCATAGCCCAGTCCTGCAATGACGATGCGCTCAATCCAGGCGTCGGATTTGAAGTGAGGCTTGCCAATGAAGCGATTGGTCAACTGATTGTTGGCGAACTCGTAGCTCACATAGATGCTTTCGCCAGTGCGGTACGCATACGATTTCTCATCGTCTATGAAGAGCGTGCCAGCAGCCTTGCCCTGGCGATCCAAGCAAATAACCAGCGTGTACGGATCGTTAAGCATCAGCGTAGACGAGCGACGCTGACGCTCCTTCTTGGGCACAATGCTGCCGCCGCGTTGAAAAACGGGTATCTGTCAAAGAAGAGGTTGGTTAACTAGCTACAGTAGCAGAATCAGGAGCGATTGACGTACTTTATCGTCGGTAACTGGTATGCTTTCGTAGCCAACACGCTCCTGTCTTTGATATGTATCCGCATCGTACCAGTAGTCGCCGTTCTTCTTGTCGTCAATGGCAGGGAAATAGACATCCACCTTGCTAACGCCTTGCTGCATCACAGGACGCACCAGAAGACGCTGCTGCACCAGCAGCTGATTGTCGATGGCAAACGCCTCCTTATCAACTGGATAGTGGGCCAGCAGTGGACGTATTACTGGCGCGCCTGTCTGCTCTAACTCATAGAAGCTGGTGTACCACAAGGGCAAATAGCTGTAGCGCTTAAGCAAAGCGTTCTTGATAACATGCCGTGTGCGCTCAGGGAACAGCCATGGTTCACGGCGCTTGGTATCGATATGAGCATGTGCACGGAAGAAAGGCAAAAAGGCGGCGGTCTGGTACCAGCGCTCCAGCAGCTCGTTATCCGGGTTGCCAAAGAAGCCGCCTATATCGGCGCCGCAAAAGGAGAAGCCGGCAACAGCCTCTGTGAGGCACATCTTGATGGAATGCTGCAAATGCGCCCAATCAGCAAAATTGTCACCGGTCCAAATGGCTGCATAACGCTGCGAGCCAGCGAAATGGGCGCGCGTTAAGATGAAGGGACGCTGTTGAGGATCGCGCTGCTTCAGGCCAGCAAAGGTGCCCATCAGATGCATATGACCGTAGAGATTGTGAACATCGCGGTGCTCCCAATTGCCATAGTGAACCAGATCCTTGGGCGCGGTTACTTCGGGGCCATTAAACACCGATGGCTCATTCATATCATTCCAGATCATCACATCCTTCGAGACCGTCTTGAATTTGGACAAGCTATACTGGCTGGCATAGTAGTCGCGCACAACGGGATTGAAGAAGTCCGGATAGCTGGCAGATCCCGGCCAGCACCAGCCCTCATAGTCATTGCCCTCGCGCGTCTTCACATAGTAACCATTCTCCGTGCAATCCTGATGGAAGAAGTACGCATTGTCACGCTTGATGTGCGGATCAATGATGACGACCAAGTGGCGACCCAGCTCTGTTAGGTTCTTAATCATAGTCAACGGTTCGGGGAACTTGAATTTGTCCCATGTGAAGTAGCGCTTGCCATCCGTATACTCAATATCCAGCCACATGGTATCCATTGGCATATTGTACTCATCGAACTTGGCCGAAACGGAGGTAACATCGCGCTCATCATTGTAGTTCCACCGAGACTGATGATAGGCCAACGCAAACAACTGCGGCAGTTCGTGCGTTCCGGTCAGCGCTGCATACTGCTTGAACACATCCATGGGCTTGGGTCCGAGCATTATGAATGCATCCACAATGCCCGACTCGGATATGAAGTGGGCCAAAGGTGGCGTCGATTTCCTCGAACCAGATACAAAGTTGACCAACGAGGAAACAACATTCGACTCAGTCGTGTAGATATCCACCCAACTCTCAGCGGAATTCTGCCAATAGACGCCGGCGGTGCGTTGTGGACTGTAAATAAATAAGGGATGTCACAGGCGGATCTGGACTAAAAGAGTATTGTATCTCACCCATGAGCATACAGCACTGGCACAGAGCCATAAAGGGCCATTTTACTGTCCACAATATACTCAAAGACATCCAAATTGTATAGACGATAGGGTTCCGTGCCGGATGTTGATTTGAGTTGAAAGGCATCGGCATGCTCGGGTATGCCAAAGAGCATCTCCGCGGCGGGGAAAGAGAAATCGAGGGCAACGGCCTCTGGTCCATAGGGTTTGGAGTCATGATGCGATTTGAAGTTCTCTTCCCATGCTCCGGGATCGTCAATAGGTTCGCTAGCTGGCTGTACCATGTCACTATTGTCTTGCTGATCCTGCTGCTGATGTGCCTGATCGCCGCCCTCGGCTTGCTCTGCAGGAGCTTGCGCCTTCTGGCGCAAATGCTCAAAGTACAACCAGTTCTTGGCATTCACCGAGACGACGTGCACATCATCCTCATAGAAGTCAATGCGAAATGGATCGCCATGTATCACAGCTTTGGACTTGCCAACCGTAATGGTCAGCTCATCAGATTCCTCCACACGTATCCGTGTCGTCTCCGGCTTGCCTTTCAACGCATGCTCAACGCGATAACGTGGACGCAACGGTTGCTTCTCATCAATCTGTAACCGGAAGGTGCTGCCAACCAGCGCCTCCAGCTTTAGCGTAAACTGATGATGATTCTCCTTATTGATCAGATCAGCGGTCACCGAATCTGTATACGTATTCAGAGTGCCTCGTATGAGGGCATATTTGCTACCCGAGCTTTGCACCTTGCGCGACCGCCTACAAATGAGAGATGGGGCATTGAAAAGATTGTAGAGGAAAACTTCAATGTGACGAACTCTAAACACCCTTGCAGATGGATATGTAATATTTGGGATAGGGTATCCCAAGCAGAGAAGAGCTAAGCTCCTTTGTAACTGAGATTTAAAATCTTGTAAGTTCTTTTGAAAGTAATACATATATAAAAATATATATTTATATATATATATATATATATATATATATATATAGATATATATGTAAATATATTTATTTATGATTACTAATATTGTTACATCTTGAATGCCCTCATCGAAATACCCTCTGCAAGGGTATTTAACGTTGCTCGATGTACTGAAATTATTTTAGACAATATATAAAAAGTCACAGACAGAGTCTGCATGTGTGTGTACGTATGGGCAAAGAATCAGGTGAAATTTGGTGTCGACCTGTTCATAACATACCTGCAAAAACTGCTTTGCTCGCAGGTCTTGAAATTGCTTGGATCAACGCCAGCGCCGTAGTTGAAAACCGCCCCAACGATGAGGCAAACGAACAATGAGCAACGCATTTTGAGTGCTCACAGTTTCCAGCTCCGCAATCCTTCGAGTCTGTGTGTTGATCGTCTTCCAACTACACAACCGTTTTTACTGCAATGTTTACAGTTATTATATATCAATTTTCGTTAGGTACTAGTTGTTGTTGCTGACAAATCAACAAATTTATGGAACACGTCAGTTGTTATGTTGCCCTTGGAGCCGGCAACGAATTTAGAGAAAAGGCAAATAGGCAAATAGGTACACAAAAAGTAAACAAAAATAAACAGTTTCAAGCACAGGCGCCGTCGCATTCGCTATTTTAAATATTAGTTTTGTGCTCATCAAACTTCCATATTCCTAAAAATATATTTACACAGCCGGCATGCAGAATTATATGCAAACTTTTTTTGAAACACTGACATAGTTATTTTGAGAAATAGACATTTAGTGCAGGGAAAGCATTCTAAACATCATCTTTTTTTGCCAATTATGCAAATTGCTTCAAGCTTGAAATATATTAATTACCTGTAGACGTCCAAAAATGGCACTTGCTATTAAAATTGTTGATACATCAGCATAACGATAGATTAGCTCCTTTGGTGCGATACTTATCGATGTACCTGCATTACATCACGACTATCTCCTGACGTACGATAGATCTATCGATAAGCTGTTTAAACGTTTCAATCAAAATACAAAATCTGAGTTATACATAGATATTTGTATTTAAGGACTGCACTTGACAAAAAACGTGGTACAATTTTAAATTAGCAAAAGGTATGCAACACACAATTCAATATTTAATCAAGTTAGTTATGGGGAAAGAACGCCGCAAACTCATGCACTTCTCACGGTCGATGAACAAAGCGTTAACCTTATTACGCAAATCCTCTTCCAGCATGCAACGCGACTTAAGCAACGACTGATGAGTGGCCTCCGCCTCTTGCAGCTTGTGATGTAGCACATCAACGGTGCCCTGCAGGTCCTGTACCTCCACCACAAGTCGCTCATGAGCCGTATCCCTAGAAATGACCCAAACGATCACTCATCCATTCAATGACTAAATATAATTTATATTTATGACTTACTTGCACAGTTCCATGCCTTCGCGATGAGAGCGAGCCTCGAGGCGTGTCTGGGCAACCTTGAGTGGGTTTGACTTATCCTGTATGGCCTTCTGCAAGAGAAACAGATGCTTCTCCATATCGAACAGCTCCTGTTGCACCTTCTGTAGATGCATTTGGACGCGACTCTTTGCGCCAGCCATTTCCTGTGCCCGTCTATCAAGGGCATTGTTCGTATTATTCCAGAAGTCCCAGACGGAGGAGGCCACAGCATTAACCACATTCTGTGCATCGCTGCGCAGTTGCGACAGCTTAGCCCGCTCTGCCTGCGACCTGAAGTGGACAAGCCAACAATTGGATTAGCTTATGCTAGCCATGGACATACGCTGTTGAGTATTCTTACCGTTTCACGTGCTCGCTGCTGGCGAGTGCCCAGGAATCCTGTGTGCTGACAGTCGGATCGTACTTCTCGATTCCGCCGAAATAGGTGATGCCTCGGCTATAATTATTCAGACGATGGCACATGGAATCGATGCCCATTGTGGCCTCCTTTTGTGTGACGTCGATCTCTAGCAGATGCTGAGCACCACGGCAATCAATCGCCTGCTTGGCAATCTTCTCCTGCAGCCCGTTGAGGCGGTCGCGCGAATTGCGCAAGTGATTGATCTCCAGCAGCAGGGCCTTCTCCACAATGTCGTGCACCAGCTCCATGCCCTGTCGGCCCTCGCGATGGAACAGACACTCTTGGGCAATGTGCAGCGGTATCTCCAGATCCAGCATCGCTTTGCTGCACTGCCTCTGTAAATCATTAATGTCAGACATCTCGCTGATCAGCTTCTCCAGCTCAGCATTCAGCTCGTTACGCCAAAACGTCAAGTCCGTAATGCGCTCACCCAAGCGACGCCCAGCATCCCGCTGGCCCATCGACGCCGTTTCATCAGTCTCTCGCATCAAACGCACCGCATCGTTGCGCATGCGCTCCGACATATTGCTGCACATTAAATGAAATTATCAATGCCCCAACCTGGCGCATTCTATTGATAATGCTGGCACTCACCGATTCGTGTTGGACTCGCCGTAGATGCTGAGATTGTTGCTGTGCCACTCGTTGTTGGTGTAGCGCGTATAGAGTGCGGCGCGTGCAGCATGCTGAGGATTCCGTTCGAATCCAGTGACAAGATTCGGAAATATCATGCCCTCTGTTTTCATGCCTTGCGGCACAAAGCAAGGCTGCGTCATCTGGTTGGTCACCGGCTGCTCGGGCATATGCTTCACTTCGATCATCTCAAATGCCATCTTGGGTCGCCACGGATGCCGCTGCGTCGTCGCATAGGACGCGGCTAAACGAGGAGGCACCGTCTCCCCGCTAATGGGCTCCATGCAGGGCGGAGCACCCGCATGGCTCCAAGGCTGCAATTGAGAATACATTACGCTTTGAGCCGGCAAACCTTCATTTCCTTCGTGACCCGACATTATGATGCTGGTTTACTTGCAAATTTCAATGTCACTTGGAATTTGGACTTTGCAACTAATACTAGTTAAAATAAAAAAAAGGTAAATACTCCTACTACACGACATATAATTGTTCAAGACTGCGGAATAACTAAGTGCTACAGAAATGTATATGACATTGAATCCTTTCAACCACGATCAACGGCTACTACGTTTCTAGATTTGGAATTTGTTAATCTCTAAGGTGCGCGGTGCATTGGTTGTATATGTGGATGATAGTTTGATAGATGATACATATGATTCCATGAGGTTGCGATGATCCTTGCGCTCTGTGTATTCGTTCCTATCAGCTGTCGGCCACTTGTCCAGCAGATTGTCCTTGACCAAGCGCTGATCGAACTTGCGATTTTCAAGATATATGTGCTTTTGATTGCTGGTGATCTCGAGACCTTTCAACGGTGCCATTGTTGCTGCCAATATATCTTCTGCTTGACTCACAATGGGCACACTAGAACGCAATAGCTGATTCTTGAGAGTTTCGGGATACGTTTGTGGATTCCGTTTAGGTTGACTTGATATTTTGTCCTCGTTTGCCCAACTGAGCATTTGCAAATTCAATACTAATATGTATTTGTAACGCAGATAACTGTTTGCCAACGCTCGAATTCTACAACTGAAAGCACTTTGATGGAATTCATACACAGAAGATTTTACTCATTATTGATTTAACTTGACTTGATGGTAACTTAGTACCCGCTCTTGTTGTTGATAGCGTATATTTGTAAAATCAATGGTTTGTCCGTGTTGTTAATTTGGCTTAAGGTCAATGTGCTACTTGACGACAAGACATAATTGGGGCAGACTTTTTGGGTTATTTTCATATGAGAAGTGTGAATTGGTCGTATAATTCAATTTGAATGCAGCGCCTCAATCGAGTGGCATGTGCTAAACTAAAGATATCGATATATTAGTCTCGATATTTATGAGTGTCATATCACAAAACAGAAATAAATCTTTCTGTGATAACAGAAAGATATAATATTTTGCTTGTGAAATCCTTTAATACTATGCGAAAACTGAAAAAAAGCATTGCACACATATATTTATTCAATTGGCGATTGCTACTTTGAGAAAACCAATTAATTACTTCGCGATATTGATTGCAATGCTTCGTCGCAGCCATTATGCAGCTCTTGAGTATGTTAAATATAATAATTGCCTGCACAAATATTTCTATCTGTTTATATTAATGGATTCGAAATATGAAAAAAACAATCGATATACATCGATGCCTCCAAACGATAGTTTAGTCGGTATTGGCTCCGCTCTATTAGCTTGCCTACAAATGCACAACAAAATTTAAAGAATTCAGAATATTAGATAGCAAAACAGCATGACCGTCTCAAACACAGTAGACCAGTACACGATTATGTCGGGTGATCGCTCTAAAATAAAAGATTTGCTCTGCAACCGCCTTACCGAGTGCGGCTGGCGGGACGAAGTGCGCTTACTGTGCCGAAATATATTAGTGGAGAAGAACGGCAACAACAGCCTAAGCGTGGAACAGCTCATAGCAGAGGTAACGCCAAAGGCGCGGACTTTGGTACCCGACGCAGTCAAGAAAGAGCTTCTCATGAAGATACGTACTATTCTGGCAGAAAACGAGGCGGACAACTAAATGCTAAGAAATAAGAAACACAATCAACAGCTAAATCATCATAGTTCATTTTATGTTTACGCTATACAAAATTAACTTTAGTCTACTATTCAGCCAATAAACAACAACAAAAATACATTCCATGTACATTCAGAGCGGACAAACAACATTACCGTTGGTCATATACTCAAAGGAGCTCTCAACGCGAGACACTGGCTGTGGCTCCGCGTGCTCAGATTGCTCGTCATCTAGCGCATCCTTCTCCAGTTCTTCTACAGCTGACCCACTTGCAGTGCCTGCCGCAGTTGGCTGCGTGTACTTGCGTACCCATTTGTTAGGATGCATCTTCTTCTTGTGGTTGTGCATGTTCGCATGCGATTTGAAAGTTCTCGTGCAGAATGGACAAGAATACAAATCGATGCCCGTGTGGGTGGCCATGTGCTCCTACAATTACCCAATTGATATATACACAGAAGTCGAATCAATCAAGGCAGTCTCTAATTACTCACTGCTAGCGCCCTTGGAAGCTTGAACTCTTTGGCACAAAGTGAACACCTGTGCCGCTTGGCCGAATGATGGTAGCGCATATGACTGCTCAGTGCCACACGGGAAGCCTTCTCTGCGCTGCACAGCCCGCAACGATACTTGGTATCGCCATCGCGATCATCGTGTCGGGCCACATGCTTGCGCAGACTTCGTTCATCCCGCAGCCAACGGCTGCACAGCTTACATTGTACCTCCTCGACGGGGCCATCCGGATGCAGCGCCTTCTTATGGATCAGAAAGTTGGCCTTCGACCGAAAGTTGACGCCGCAAATGTCGCAGATGACGGGCGTGAAGTCCGTTGTGTGCATTCGCTTTATGTGTGCTGTTAGCTCTAGCTTAGTGCGAAAGCTGCCATAAAGAGTAAAGAGAAAGAGAGAGAGAGAGAGATAGTGCGTGAGGTGATATGCCGCTGAGACAGAGGCAGAGCTAGACAGAGTCTAGTTTATGTGTTGTAAATAAATCTATACATCGACATGACTGATTGATGGGTTAATAGATTATTTGACAGACTGACTGACTGACTGACAGAAAGACTTGTAGACGGGCTACCTTGATAGACTGATTGATCGCCTAGAATCGATTGACGAGGCTAACACACAGATGAGTTGACTAGCAGACGAATTGCTTCATTGAATGATTGACAGATATATTTGCTACTGCCTATATGGAAGCTTTGAAGCACCTACCTTTTCGCACAGGTTTCGCAGGCCTCGGTTCGCTCGGTGCCCTTGTGCCCCTTTATGTGCATGGTGAGGAGAAACTTTTTGGCAAAACGCGCCTCACAGACGGTGCACTGATGCACGAGCTGTTGCTGGTCGGAATGGAAGCGCAGCATATGCATATCTTGACTGTTGCGGTTAAGGAAGCTCTTGCGACAAGGCTGACAACTAAAGTACTGCGGATCCTTGTGATAATGCAGATGATCCACATACAGTGTACGTTTCTTATAACGATTGTTGCAGCACTCCATGTATCCCGTGCAATTGTGCTCCGAGCGAAAGTGGCGTTTCAGCTCGATGAAGTTCTGCAATGGAGCAGCGCAGAGGCAACAGTCGAGCTTCACATTGGCTGCAATATAGTCGTCCATTTCCTTGATGCTGCTGCGCTTCGCCTGCAGCTCCGTTGCATCCGGGTTGGGCTTGGGCTTCGCAATCTTTGGCTTGGGCTTAGATTTAGATTTGGATTTGGCTTTCGCGCCTTTGGGTCGACCGCGTGGCTTTGTGATTTTTTGTAACTCAGGCAGAGCAGCAGGTGATACACCTGCTTTCGCTGCAGTGCGTCGCAGCAAACGTGTCTCTCGCTGACTAGAAGCAGCCGAAGAAGGCAATTGTGCTCTGTTTGTAACTGCTTCTTCGAACTCCAAGTCGAAGGCATCCGCGCTGTTGCTTGTGATTGATTGTGAATCCGTTTGGTTGATGATACTGCTGTTGTCATGTACATCGATCTCCGGCTCGCATAGTATATGATCCTTAACATCGTCGTTGTCATCGAAGACCAGCTTCGTTTCTATCGGCGACTCGGTGTTCCAAACAACGATTGCTGGTTCGGGGGGCGGTTCGGGCTCCATTTTCAGTTGGAGCGTTTGCTGCTTTTCGGCTATCATTATGCAGAACTGCTGAAAGTCGCTTAATTGATGCCAGCACGTGCTGCACAGATTGGTGGATATGCTATCATTTATCGTCACCTGAGAAGATGGCAAAGTTTCAGTATACAAATGAATTGAATTTTTCATATATTTTCTTTAAATTTGACGTCCACCTCGAGCTGTAAATATTTGGCAATAACCGTCGAGAAATCGTGTTCGGCATCACTGAATATGCAAATGGAGAGTGAGTTATCCAAATCCAACAAGCACAAGCGGCAGATCATAGTTTTCAGAGCAGAGAATAAACAACAGGCCAAACTTTGCTTCTGTAAACAAAAATCGGTGTGCACAATACGATAGGCGTGTTGTTATCGAGAGATGTGAGTCGGTGAGAGGCTTTCATTTAGTAGGCATGCAATAATCGAGCAACACGAACAATCGATATACGCAAGGAAATCTTTCCTACGCATTCTTTCAACACACACGCAAATTCGATGTTTTCATTTTATTTTGTACATCGCTAGAAGGCAGTGTTGCTCGACTATTTTCCCAATAAGAGTGCGGTAACAGAAAACAATGCAAAAGAAGCCGCTGAATGCAAACACGCTGTTGGACAAACTGCACCGAGGCGCTGTCTATGCCTGCATCGGAGTTACCCTATATGGCACCTATATGCTAGGAATGCGCTACTACCATTACTACACTGTGATACGGCCAGAGAAGCAGCAGGCGGAGCTGAAGCTCCTCGACGAAGGCGCCCACGACAAGGCCAAGGAGCTTAAATACTAAAACCGCATGTCCTCTATATATAACTATAGATATATGCATCGTTTTTTCTAATTTGTAATGTTTGTTAAGCGTAATAAATAGTTCCGAGACAATTTGTGCATTGTGTGGTTCTTGTGCTGCTTCTTGTTGTGTAATATTCAACCAGGTGGGCTCCATCAATCGAAAGACCTTGACGTAGTTGTCGTTGCAAACAATGCGCCCATAAATCAGCCGGAACAGTATTAAAGACCAACGACATGCCCGGATTGAGGCAAGAGCAATATTAGAAAATCCGTTGGTGCAATCGTCGAATGTTGTCATCGTCGCTGTGATTGGCATCGTGACCAGCGGCTGCGCCACAGCTGTCTAGTCACTAGAGGTGGCCGCGTGAGTGTTCAACGGCATGGGATTTGCAGCGTCAAGCACGCACGACTTTCGATCCTCACCTATTTTCATGAATGCATATTTAAAATTAAAAAAATATATATATTCCATAAGAGTTTACTTCCATAAATATATATATATATATATATATATATATATATATATATATATATATATATATATATATATATGCTTTTTATATTGTATATTTTTTATTTATAATATTTTTCTATGCATTAGTTAAAAATGATGACAAAAAACCTTTTTTCACAATTCAAAATTTTTTCATTAAACTTCCAAAACCTTTTTTTTCAATTGCGTTAGGCTTCCAATAAGACTTATTAGACTAAATTACTCAATTAATTTGGTCTTTAGACATTTTTTTAGTTTTAGTTTACATAAAGACAAGTCAAGCGGTCTAGAAAGGGGATTAATATATTTTATTATATTAATATATATTTTGTACACCTTTGGCCAACATATTTAAGTCGTGTCACGCACTTTGAGTGCTACCAATTGTAGGGCAACTTCCGCTGATAGAGTCGCGTGCATTAACCTTAACGTGTGGCAACAATATGAATTTGATTAAAATTAACTTAAGACAAAATAAACAGAAAAAAACACTGAAGCAGACAATGACGTTGCCCCACCCACTTTGGAGCCGCTTGTGAAAAACGTTGCCAATTGCCAGTTATTCGCTCGTTTTATCTGCGCTTCATTCAACAATGTTGCAGTTGAAGTTGTTGTTATTATTGTTGTTGTTGCATTAGTCTCATTCACAGTTTGATCAGACAAAAGCAATTACCATGCAACAGTCAACAGCTACGTCGCTCACCCACCCCCCTCCACCGACATCCGGTCAAGGTCGTCCATCCTTTATTGTCTCATTGCATTTGCTTAGCTTCCTCTGCCCCCTGCTCTTTGGCCTTTGCCTCTGTCTCTTCCTCCGGGCTAGCATTAGAAGCGAAATCGTGCAACTTGGATCATTTCGATAAGAATTCAAATTTGTTTCTTGTTTTGCTTCCTTTTCATACTCGTTCAGGCAGCGAAGCGAGCATATTGGCTACGTCTGTCTCTCCGTACGCAGCTAGAGAATTGATTTTTGGAATAGATATTATGCATATATCAGCGATATAAGGCACTATTCGAGACATTAGATATTGAAAAATCGAGTCTTGGCTGAGTGTACGACTTAATATTGCCTTAACACTGGGAGAGCGAAGATCATCAATCTAAGGGAAAACAATGAGAACACCACAAAATGCAGCATGCATCGCGGAATAAATTGCAAATAAATATATAAATATGTATATATGACATAGTATATATATTATATATATACACTGTGATCTATATCTCAGGCGACTTTGAATGAGAAATGAAAATATAAGTAAAAATTTATATACTTTTGTATATATAAAATATATTTATATTGAGTCATTTACGCTAAATTGAACTGTTTCTGAGACGTGAAAGAGTATTATGCAGTCGGCAGCGCTCGTCTGCAATGTTCTAACTTGTTGCAGTTGCTTGATACACTGCCAGAAAATTGAAGTGCTTTATGCTCTATAATCATTTCATTTCTTAATATATTTTTTATATTTATGAATATATATATATATATGAATTATATCTTAGTCGAATATATATTTATGCATAAATATTTCCGTCTATAATATTTGATAACTGCACTAAATATATATATATTTTTTTTTAATTATTCAAGCTGATTCTTAGGGTTATTTCAGGACATTATTATCGCATTGTTTTCTTTTTTCGATACAACTGTTATGGCAGTGGAAACTATTGTTTGTTTTCTTAACAGTTTTTACAGTTTTGAAAAATCGTTCTCAGTCGCCGCGAAATCGTCTGTTGAATGTGCTCGGCAGCTATCTCGCTCGCACTTAGGCACAAACGTATGCGTTCTCTCTCTCTTCTGTTCTTTTGTTCTGGCTGAAAGTAAGAGTTGCCATAAAGATGTCTCTGCTTTATGTCGAAGGAGCTCAACGGCAGCCAAGGATTAGACACGATAGAGCTTTGCTAGCTGCTGGTTAGGACTGGGATTGGGATTGGGTTTCGGACTCAGTAGGCCAGCATAAGTAGATCTTTGCTTATTGAATTGCATCAGAGCTGCGTAATTTCACTCGCATGCCATCTATTTTACAGGGTATCCAGGCGTCTTTTCATAGAGTATCTAAATTCATTTTCGAGCTCAACTTGAAAGCATTTTGCTGATGAATATCTTTTGGAGAACGCTTTCAAGGTATCTGTAAATCGTGCAGAGTTTATTAACTGTTTTGCTTCTTGCTGCTGAGTTAATTAAAAACCAAAAACAAAAGCAAAAGCAAAAACAAAGACAAAAACATAAACAAAGGCGTATTTGCAATTGTTATTAACAATTGCTGCGCTCGCTGCTTTCCCACGGGGTCTCTGGCATTTGACTTGCCACGCCCACTGTTGGCAGTCAGTTGTAATGTATATGGCTTGGTTTGTCAACATGTTGCACGTTGCATGTTGCGTGTTGCATGCGTGTTGCAGCGAGCGTATCGCATTGCAAGTGAAAGCGACACCCGATCGCATTTAGCGGGTATTAACTGTGCCAACAACTCCCATTTTCGACCTGCTTCCGTCTTGGCCAATTGCCCAAGAAACGCCTTCTTTATGCAATCTCCGATGCGCGTTCTAAGCGGGCGTGGGGCAAGGGCGGACTGTGGCGGTGGCGGGGGCGGGGCTCGTTGAAACGTTAGTTGCAACGCCCACTTGGGCCAAGCGCTGCGGGCTGCGAGCTGCAGCTGTAGCTGAGGCTGACCTTTTTGGGCCCGGCCAACGATGAGCTACAGTAAACACAGGCTTAAGCAAACCATCTCAAGCATAAAGACACTAAAGAAATCTCTGCTCACATTTGATACGTTTTAAGCTTGGCTAGGGACAATGTTTCCGAGCCGAACCGTACCGAACCGAACTGAGTAAAAATAAGAGTACAGTGTGCACACGCTTTAACGAACGAGAAACATATAATTCTCTTTAATTCTTCAACTGTTGTATGTTTTAAGGCCACTGAACCGAACTGATAGTACAGTAAAGACAGGCTTAAACGAACCAGCTTCAAAGCTTTAAGCTTAAAGCTCCCAATCGAACCGTAAAAACTCGCTTGAATGAACCAGCTATTTTAAAGTTAAAGCCTTTAGTTGAACATTTGCTTGTACCAAATTGAACCGAAAGCTGAACCAAGTCGAACCGGTTTGAAGTCAATTCATTTATTTAACCCTGAATCGAAGTTGAATAATGGCGAAAGCTTTTATTAATATATATGCTTAAGCAAATTATGGTAGCTGTGTGAGTCAGGCTCAAGAATCGGTTCGAACCATAACCGAACCAAATGACACTTTTGACAGCAGTTCGCTTGTCGAGTGTTTACTGTACAACTGAGCAGCTGCAGCAGCTCTAGCAGAGTCTGTCAAGCATTGAATACGACATCAAATGCAACAATCGCTGCAGCTAGAGCTTGTTGTTATTATTTTTTCTTTTCTCTATTTTGTACTTTATTATTGTTTTATCTTTTTTTATTTTGCATAATTGCAAACTGTAGCAAAACTATAAATACGCTGCGCCGGCTGCCAACCAGCAACAAATCAGCTCAGCAGCTGCAGCCATCGCACCTTTAACAAAAGCAGGAGCAACTAAATAAGAATCCTCATCATGAAATTCCTGGTAAGCAGGAGTTGAGTCAGCAGCTACTACTAAACAGGACTAATTGCTAAGGACATTTTACAGTGTGTCTTCGTTGCGTTGGCCCTGTGCCTGGCAAGCTGCCTGGCGGCTGTTTCTGAGCCCGCAGTAGCAGCTGAAGCAGCGCCTGAAGCTGAGCTGGAGTCGACAGTGGGCGAGAAGAAGACGGAAAAGCGTGGCATCTATGGCTTTGGCTATGGTCATTATGGCCATGGGTATGGCGGCTATGGACTAGGACATGGACATTATGGCGGCTATGGCCTGGCCACACCTTACTATGGCGGCTATGAGTACGTGCATCACGCTGCGCCCTACTATGGAGGCCATCATGGCTATTACCCGTATCATCATGGTCATTATGGTTACTATTGAGCTTAGCTGGGACTTATGATATCGCATTATATACAAACACTCATCGCTACACAATCATACCTAAATAATATTTTTTTTCATTTTTTTTTTCATGCGCTTCGAATAAATGTCCTTACAAAATGCATTTGTGTAAAGTTTGAAATTTGAATTAGGGCGCGCGTGCGCGCAAGTAATTTATTGGGAAATGCAACCCTGCGTGCAGTGCTTAAAAGCACTGCATAGGTAGCAGCAGCAGCAGCAAGAGGTCTATTGACGCTCACCGATAGCCGATAGCTCGTTATCGATTGGTATCGATAGCATGGGCTCTCACATTTTTGTTGTTCATTTTTACGCTCTTCTTTGTCGGAGACGGTTGTTACTATTCGCTTTTGCTTCGCCAAGCAAAAGAGCTCAACAAATAAATTGACACACAATTTGAATTTGAGCTAGAAAAGGAGTCCGTTCGAGCTACAAAAAAAATACGGTGTGAACAGCTGTTGTTACACTAGTGTTGGGTAATTTTTTGTTGTCTATTTTTTTTGTTTTTTTTTTATGTTTTACCCCACGAATTACGCGTACAGTAAAGTGGCAGCAGTATCAACAACAGCAGCAACAAAACAACAACAAATGTCGCAGTGGTGAAAAGCAAGTGCGAAAAATACAACTAAAAGCTGATCAAATTGTGGACGAAACAACAACAAAACGAAGAGAGCAAAAAATTAAATTAAAAAAATAAGCAGCAGATGTACATGCACGCTTGTACATTTTCAGTAGTGTTAGTACTAAATACTAGTACAACAAAAAAAGAAATAAATGCGAATCTGTTTGTGAATATGTGAAGTGACAAAAAATAAAATAAAGTAAAAAAAACACGCACTCATACACGCATACGAAAAGTCGTGAATTCGTCGTTGTCGCTGCTTTAGTATTTGTGTGCTCACATCCATATACACACGCACACACACACACAACATACGTACGTTTTGTACGTATGCGTGCTCGTCTAGTGGCGAGCGTGCGAGCGAGGAAGGGAGTGTGGAAGAGCGAGCAGTCGTTGTCTTTAGTTTCTGTGTTGCTTTTACATTTTTTTGCCAGAATATTTATTTATTTTTTTTTTTAATAATTTTCGCATTGTGAACAGTTTTTTTTGTTTCGTACATCGCAAGTTTTGGAAAAGCGTGCGTTCGTGTGCGTGTGCGTCGCCGCGCGCGTTGGCAGCAGCGCAACAACAAACACAACAGCAAAAATAAAATCAACAACATTTATAGGCGCGAGTCGGAGCAGTTCGCGCCACTTTGAAGAGGTATGTATGTATATAAACATGTGTCTGTGTGTGCGAGTATGCTTTTGTCCAATTCAAAAAATTCTTATTAGATCACAGGCATGCGTGTGTGTGTGTGCGTGCGTTGAGCAGCCGTCGTTTCTCAGGTTCAGCATGACGACGACTTCTTTTTCGTCTTGTTTTCTTTTCCTTCTGCTACTCACACTCATTTCGCCGTTATTTATGTAACAAGTGTGTGCGTGCTAAATGAAGTGCTGCTGCTGCTACTGCTGCTGCTACTGCTGCTGCTGTTGTTCCTGTTGCTGTGTATGTATTTGGCGATTTTTCGCCTCACTATTTGTTGTTGTCGTAATGTTTGTAATGAAGTTGGCGACGTTGCTGCTGTAGCTGCCACTGCCATTGTTAACGCACAAAAAAGCACCCAGCACCATCGAACCGCGTTCGCATCAGCAGCTGGAGCAATGCTAAGCGCATTGAACTGGTTAGGTTCACTTTGTCATTTTGGTTATCAACACTGGCAATGGCGGCAGAGCATATCTGTTCCGATGCCGCAGCAGCGCATCATTTAAGCTTTGGCAGACGTCAACATATGGCGTCGGCAGCATTTCTTGAATTGACATCTGTATGTAAGGTTTTGCTGTAAATTAACAGCTAAAAACAGCAACAACAACAAACGCAGCAGTAGCAACAACAATAACTTCAACAACATTTAGAGCAATTGGTTTTATGTTTGTGTGACGCGTTTTTTGGGTTTGCTCTTAGAGGCAGCGTTGATGCTAACGTCGACAACGCTGCTGCTTTTGTGTGTTTGCTTGCATCAACATAAATTGGAGTGAAGAAAGAGCGCAAAAGTCATTGGATTTTTTTACTTGTCATTTCATTACGCACTACGTTGACGCTGCCGCTTGTTGCGCTTTTGTTTTTGTTATTCTGCCTATTTGCAAATTCGTCACAGACAAGAGTGAGAAAGATTTTCCTCTATCGCGAGAGCGAAATTGGTGTAATTTCAAATTGGAATGCGAATTGATTTTATGCCACACGCCAATAGTTGAGTGTGTACCAAATGTTTATGCAAACCAGAAATGTAAAATGCAAAAGCCATTTACACACATAAATGTATATATGAATAAATGAAAATGTATGCCTGTGTGTGAGTGAGTGCTTGTTATTGCTGTGAGCCTTCGACGAATTCTTCTACGTTCTACATTTAACGGCAAAACCTACGATGAAGAGAGTGACATACTGAGAGGAAGAGAGTTCTGGTATTTAGATGCATCAAGTGACGCACATGCATATACCCTGTATTATTGCATTTAAATGAAATACATAAATAAAAACAATTCAAATAAACTTACAAAGCAACTTTCTAAATTTCGTAATATACCAATATAGAAAAATTATATTTACAAACTATATTAAAATACAAATATGTTTGTATAATCAATAAATTCTGTATATTTGGATTATTTAAAAAAATAACTCCCTATGGCTATAATTCATAACATTTAAAAGAGCTTGCAAAACCAAAGTAGAGGTCATCTGCTCGTTGAGCATACCCAAATGTATGTTTCCTTGAAGCACGCATAAAGTGCAGTTCAATTGTTGCTGTTGTTGTAGTGGTTACACTTGGTTGATTTAATTGCATTTATATTGATTAATACATTTGACATTTGATTGATTCTATTTATAGAGTTTTTCTAACATTGAATATATTAATTGCATTTAACAACGTTATACCATTGAGTACAATACGAATAGGAAGAGGTTTACAAGATATGACAAATTCCAATTGGATCGGTTAACATTTCTCATTTGGGGTGTCCGTTTTTGTTTGTGTATCATACACATACATATGTAAATACATAAATATACGTACATTTATATATATATATGTATTTATACATGTATATATATTTATTGTTTGTTCTTTATATACTTCATTCGCTTGCTGTTTCGTCTTCTGTTTGTTTTTGTAATTAGTGAGCGGAAATTGTATGCGTAAATGTATATGTGAATCTGTGTGTGTGTGTGTGTGTGTGTGCGTGTGTGTACATGTACGGGTATGAGGATATGTTGGTGCCGCAGGAGTTAAACTAGACGCCGATTGGATTTTCTAATTGTTTGCATTATGAAGGTCATTGGGACAAGCGTCTAGCAGTACTTGCTACTCGTGACACCTTGCACATGTTTGTGTGTAAGCTTGCATTCATTTAATGCACCTGTGACCCAATTCGACAGTTTCCACCTGCTACAAATTACCCCCACTTCAACCACCACACAATTATTTTTTCACTTGCGCCAGCAATTTGCATGTTTTTCAACATTTTCAATTCACAGCTGGAAGCGTGGTGAATTGAGGTGTGGTGGGCTGCATATGTGAGTGTGTGTGAAGGGGGTGGCAAACATTCAGCTGGCATTTAGCAACAGATATCGACAAGTATTATAAAAAAAAAAATGAAAAAACAACAAAAATGATTATCAATTCAGAAAATTTTCCGAAATCTGAGCCAAGTGCAAAGCAAAAGCAGAAGCAGAGTAACGAAAGACGAAGCAGTAGACGAAGCAGACTAACGGACTATCATTAATGCGCGCTCGCTCTCCATGACTCGCTCTGATCGCTGAGGCTCGCTTATCAAAATGTGACGTCTGCTATTCTCATTCGCCTGCTTCTTCTACTTGTTGTTGTTGTTGTCCATTGTTGTGGCTCCGCTAATCTGTCTTGCAGTGTGAGCGTATGTGTACATGTTGGTGTATATAGATGTATATGTGCTTATATATTTTTTCAATGAATTTGTAAGCAACTGTAAATGAAATTGATTTTCCAATTCGTCGGATCATTCACAACTTCTGATTGGCATTGTTGCGGCTCATTTGGGGTTTTTACATGTTGATGGAATTTTCCATTTGTCACAAAAAATCTTTTGAGCGGATTGGCAGGATAGAAACTTTCGACTAAATGAATCAGTTGACTCTTCGAATAGCTTTCAGATTGCGCTTGAGCCGTAGCAGCAACGTATGCCAATTGAAAATGTCGGCAGACGCTACTCAATTCCAATTGGGTTGTTTTATTTCAATTGGAGTAGTACCTTATTTGCTGACTAACTGACTAAATAAAAATCTTATTCCTTTTCTTTTTGTGTCTTACAGGTCCATGCAAAATGTCTAGTCCTGACGATAGAATACCAATACGTGGTAAGTGAAGCCACTTTCTTATGGTTGGGTGGTTGGGTGGCTCAAATGGGATATTGTGCGTAATAACAATTGAATACATAACTCAAAATGTACACAGCGCGCACATACAAACAAAAGCTTACAAGCACATTGACATAGAGGGGGAGAGCGAAATAGAGAGAAAAGAGTGTGTGCCTTCCAAAAATAACTGTTAATAGGAACACAAAAGCAAGCAAACAAGCAAGGCTGCCAGCACAGCTAAGCGCAGCGCAGCGCAAACTGACTTTTCAAAAGCAGCGGCAACGTGTAGCACGCTACGACAACGGCCAAACAACAAGAACATTGTCCATGGTCGGGTGACAGCAGCAGACGAGTCCCAAACTAGCAAGTGGTTGCGGCTGCGTTGCTGACTGAAAATGTCACTCAAAAGAGAACTCGCGTGAGTGTGAATGTGAGCGCAAGTGTTATGTTAATGACTAAGAGAACACATACAGTGCTGGTCATACAAGCAGAGTCACTTGTATATGTTAACATTATAACTAAATCTTATGTGTTATCATGTAAATATAAAAAAAAAAAACCTATTTTAATAGTGTAAAAGCAAAATGGGCAAAACAAAG